AGCAGAGCCTGGGCCGCACGACCCCGGGGAGGTGGACGTCCCGGTCCCGCACCTACGGGTTCCTGACAGAGATCGTCACAACCCTCTTTCACCGGAGGCCGGCCTCCTTCAAGAAAAATTAGAAGGAAGAGTGATAATTATTAAATACAACAATTATTATTATAATAAATATAAAAATATTATTATATATAATTATTATTATAATAAATACTATAATAATAATATAAATAATTAATAATTATCACACAATCGTTAGTTTAGGTTATTTATTATGCACCCCATACCCATCTTGTGGGTGGTAGTGGAAAGGGTTACAGAGGCACATAATGGGCTCAGGGACTGAACCCCACAATTCATTTAGCTAAGCAAGTTACAATCTTGATGAGCTAGTTACAAAATTCAATATAAGTCGTCACATCAACAATGGGTTCGAGATCGACCACAAGTACAGTTTCTAAATTAAGCAACTGTCCCACAATACAACCTCCTCCCCCCCACCAATCTATGGTTCATCCAATAAAATCACAATATATATATATATATATATATATATATATATATATATATATATATACTGCATGGGTTGCATTGCGGAAGCACAAAGGGCTGGCATGCAAGACACAACGAGGTCAATGACATCATCAAGAGAAGCCTCGTCTCAGCTGGGTGCCCAGCGGAGAGAGAACCTCGCATCCTAGGGGTCCAAAACCCGGATTTCCCCGCACTTCGTCCTGATGGCATCACCATATACTCATGGAAGGAGGGTAGACAGTTGGTGTGGGACTACACATGTGTATCCACCCTGGCTGACACCTATGTACACTTCGGAGCTGATCAAGCAGGTGGGGCGGCCAACCACAGGGAAACAGCAAAATCACTCAAGTACAGGCGACTGGATGGTCAATACCTCTTTGTTCCCATAGCGTCTGAGACGCACGGCCCCTGGGGCAAGAGTGCCTTGGGATTTCTCAAGGAATTGGGTTCCAAGCTCATTGACGTCACCAGAGACCCAAGGGCTTCCAGTTTTTTATTTCAGCGTCTCAGTGTGGCGATCCAGAGGGGAAATGCTTGCTGCGTCCTCGGTTCCTGTCCAGAAGCGGAGGAGCTTCAAGAGATCCATAACCTTTAGGCATTTGTCTTGTATGTTTTGTAACCTTTAAATACACAATAAAAAAAAAAAAAGGGAAGGGGGTGGTAGGAGAAAAGCACACAGAAACTGTATTGGAGGGGACCTACATTCCCTCCAATGCGTTATGTGTGGTTTCCTCCGAGGCTATGGGTCCCCCTTCTTCCAGCCAGATGTGGTACTCCCTTCCCTATATATATATATATATATATATATATATATATATATATATATATATATATATATATATATATATATATATATATATATATATATATATATATATATATATATATATATATTATATATATATATATATATATATATATATATATATATATATATATATATATATATATATATATATATATATATATATATATATATATATATATATATATATATATATCTCACACCCCAGAAGTGACTCGAACCCATACTGCCAGGAGCACTCTGCAACTGTACATCTGCAATGCATGATAATAGGAACAAAAACAGGCAGGGCCCTCGTGTGTTGTGTGGCCCTCGTGTGTTATGTGGCCCTCGTGTGTTGTGTGGCCCTCGTGTGTTGTGTGGCCCTCGTGTGTTGTGCCCTCGTGCCCTCGTGTGTTGTGTGGCCCTGTGTGTTGTGTGGCCCTTGTGTGTTGTGTGGCCCTTGTGTGTTGTGTGTGTGTTGTGTGGCCCTCGTGTGTTGTGTGTTGTGTGGCCCTCGTGTGTTTGTGGTGGCCCTTGTGTGTTGTGTGGCCCTTGTGTGTTGTGTGGCCCTTGTGTGTTGTGTGGCCCTGTGTGTTGTGTGGCCCTTGTGTGTTGTGTGGCCCTTGTGTGTGTGTGTGTGTGGCCCTTGTGTGTTGTGTGGCCCCTGTGTGTTACCCTTGTGTGTGTGTGCCCTTGTGTGTTGTGTGGTGTGTTGTGTGGCACTTGTGTGTTGTGTGGCCTTGTGTGTTGTGTGTGTGTTGTGTGGCCCTTGTGTGTTGTGTGGCCCTTGTGTGTTGTGTGGCCTTGTGTGTTGTGTGTCCTTGTGTGTTGTGTTGTGTGTTGTGTGTACCCTTGTGTGTTGTGTGGCCCTTGTGTGTTGTGTGTGGCCCTTGTGTGTTGTGTGGCCCTTGTGTGTTGTGTGTGTTACCCTTGTTGTGTGTGTGTGTGTTACCCTTGTGTGTTGTGTGGTCCTTGTGTGTTGTGTGGTCCTTGTGTGTGTTGTGTGGCCCTGTGTGGTCCTTGTGTGTTGTGTGGTGTGTGTGTCCTTGTGTGTTGTGTGGTCCTTGTGTGTTGTGTGGCCCTTGTGTGTTGTGTGGTCCTTGTGTGTTGTGTGGCAGGGCCACACAAACACTCAACAAACAAGCGCGCATCGGAACATGCAGGAACCGGGAACAAAAACCCGCTCCCCCCCCCCCCACACACACACAACCGCACCCCATGCACATCAAAGTACACAACCGGATACAACCTCACAACACATAGCAAACAAAATAAATTACTGGACAGGAGAACAAACCTCAACGGGAGGCGAATATTTCTCAGGAAACTTATACAGAGGATATTTGTGCTTATAGGCCTCCCATATCAAATACTCCATGTCAGTAGGGGAACGATTCCCCTGCTTCCGGGGCCGCATAAACTCTGGAATCACTAAATCAAAAACGGCAGAAACGAAAACGGCGGCTCCCGGAGGTGGTCGACAGAAGTCGCATAACAAAGAGGGGCAAGGTAAACCACCTCCTCCGCCAGATAGTGGTCTTTTTTTGTTTTGGTAGGGACGCGAGTCTTTATTTTCCTCGGCGTCACCCCTTCTATATAGGAACCACCGTGAAAGCGGAAGAAACCGAAGCAGAGTACGTAGACCGCCAAGACGGTCCCGCCGCCGGATGCGCAAGAGAAGAAGGCCTTTTTCAACACCACTACCAGATCACCACGCTCACCACGAACCTCATCAAGGGGGAACCATCCCCACGAAGAACCGGAACCATCCGACGCGGGCGACGCACCCGAAGCAAGATCCACAGGCACCACACCAAAAGGGAAGTCCGAGACACTGTCACCGGCAGCCGCAGGCACATGTACTTCACCACCACCGTAGAATGTGACGCAACCAGAAGGAACCACTTCGCCATCGCCGGAAGATTCATAGTCGTCCAAATCTCCCACATCAGCCCAGGCAGAAGATCGCCGGGAACGCTTGGACTCTGGCCGCACATCATCAGATCTGGAGGCCGACCCAGAGACACGGGCGTCACAAGCCGGGCGAACCAACACCCTCCGCAGGACGGCAGCATCCTCAACCACATAGGGTACCAGGCCGAGCACAATAGAAGACCCCTGTATCCACCCCAGCCGGGACACACGTCGAGGGCACAGGGACATGCTCAACAGTTGGAGAAGACGAAGACGACGTACAGAGTTCCACGGGAAGACCCACGGGACCATCAGGGACACCAACGGGAGCAGGCAGAACATGCAGCTGATGCCTTTGAACATTCGAAGACACCATAACGCTAGGAAGAGGGGCCACCACAGCAGATGTGTCGGGCGCCACAGGGGGGGCCCCCAGCAGCCAATGGGACGGCCACATCCCCACCCAATGAATCCTCCTCCACAGGGAGCGGTGGAAAATCCTCCTCACAGAAGAGATTCACGGGGACGACGGCAGCCTCAGAACACCCGGCAGCCTGATGCCCCAGCAGGCCACATCAAAAACTTATCCGCGGTTGTCGGGAATAATACACCAAAACATAATATCCGAGGAGCCGGACGGAGGACGGAATTCCGCCCGCAGGCGCATCCCCAGGGTCCGAATGTTCATTCACAAACACTGGACCTTTCCCAAGGAAAGCTTGTGCAGCCTCACACTGACGACAGCTCCAAACCTCCCGAAGTAACGCCACAGGAGGTCCTCGGGAAACTCCAAGGGCGCCCCATGAACACTGACGTACGTCAATGCACCACTTCGATCGGAAATCTCCACAGTGCCGGCACCACCCGGCAGGGGCAAGGATCACCCCTCGAAGCGCTGGAGAAACGCACGATACTCTGCGTCCCCCACAAATTTGACAATCATGCGATGAGTTCAACACCGTAAATCACATCCACGGGGACACGGAGCATGTCAGACATTACAAGTTCAACCTCCGGGTACCCGGCATGGCCAGAAAATTCCAGGCTTACAGAGTGCACACGCACAACAGGGGGAAGAGATCCCCCCATTAGGAGCGTCACCGACGAACACCCAGGCACCACTTGACGACAAATGCAGGGAGGGCAGGAACACCCACACCCCCTGGCGACCAAAGCGACAAGCCACGCTCTGCGCATTAGTGGCTTTAGGCATAGTATAAACTGAATAAATAGTTATGGAAACTATCTAGAAATCCAACATTCTGTTTGCAACTCATCTTGTATGTATGTTACCTGAATAAACATTTAATTATTATTTATATTTCCAAGTATAAAAGATCCAATAAACTTCCCAATCTACATTTGTTTTTATTCTGAATATCTTAAGTTATTTTATAAAATACAAATCTTCTGAATTAGTTTGGGTAATAACACCAGGAAATAATAAACAATATGGATTATTGATACAAATATATTTACTATTGTTTACAATTTAAACTAACAGCATTACAAAAATAGATTAATTAATTGTATACACGCACATACTTTCACAACTAATGACAAACACACATAATGTCATAAGTAATGACAACTACACACACACACACACACTTTCATAAGTAATGAAAACACACATACAGTACTTTCATAAGTGTTATGTATCAATAATACTTGATGCTGACATTTTTCATGATAAAGCATTAATGTTCCTAAATTCCTTCCTCAGTTATTGTGAGATTAACATTACGTCCTTTTTGTTTTCGTTGAGTATTGTTTGCGTTAACTGTAGCGTGCTTGTATGTTGTATTTTTTGACGCTATTTCATGTTAATTCATGTGGGGAGAGACAGTGGCGTCTCGTGGGAGGGGAATGTACAGGGGAATCTACTCTGTACATATACAGAGTAGTCATTGATGCACGCATTGTATCCAACATAGCATCACTGATTCACCCCTGTAATTATTCAGTGTTCTTGTGTGTACATGTATTTTAATTACACCTTAGTTATGTTTAATGTATATTACGGTATTTATAAATATGTTCATAAGTATTACTCGCTACAGATAGCAACGTATCTAAAAATATTCATTTGGGCCTAAATTGGTAATATGTTGACCCCACGCCCCATGCTACTGGACACTTGGCAGCCAGTAGCATAGGTGGAGTTATCCGAGGGGGACCTGAATCATAAGATAAGTCAAAGGTGCCTGTTTAGTTCAGTTAACATAGTTACTTGCCTGGTTAGACCATTATTTGCTTACCCATATATTCTTATATCGGGTAAGTTAGTGATCAGTGCCTATAGATATTATCTAAACTTATTAAATGAGAATATATCTGGTGATTCTTGGCTACCTGTGTGTATTTATTTGATATGTCTGATTGTTTCTTTGTTATCCCTTCATGAAATATATTGATGTGTTTGTGAAGCAGTTGTTTCTTTAATCCCTAGACAAGGCCACATTTATTATTTAATTATTGCGAGACACATGAACCTTACCCATAACAATAAGTAATGACACAACACACACATACTTTCATAAGTAATGACACAGAAAAGAGAATCTTAAAGCTTTAGGTTTCGTCAAAAGCCTCATTCGGGTAACAATGAGGATCTTGACCACGTTGATCTCTGGGTTCAACGAGGACTCGCAGATCATGGTCTCCCAGTCTGACTGTGAAGCCAGCTTCAGAGACACTATTGCTGGAGTTCAAGTGGTTAGCTAAGGGGTTATTGAGGGACACGACGGGTGAGAGGTGGGATGGGACTGGTCCTGCACGACTCCAGTATACAAGGTGTCCAGGGACTGGAGCTGGGTCCTGGGAATTAGTCAAACCAAATTCTTCCGGGGCAGACATGTTGGGTGGAAGATCTGGAAAATAACGGATAAGATGAATGGTGGATAAAACTGAATGAATTTCTATCAAGAATTTTATTAATACGAAATAAACATCACATACAAAAACTTTAAAAGCAACTTAGTTGACAACTTACTTGAATTCTTTGTGTTCTGAGCGTTTACGGATCCATCGTACTGGCTCTCCAGCCAAGCGTCAGCTGGGTAGGCTGGTTCCCCGTGCGTCAAGATGTCCATTCCTGGCATACAGATATTGTTAGATATAAAACATTTACAATGTATAATGAATGCGTTCATAACACTAAAAATATAACAATTATCAATTATATAATACAAAAGTGAAAACTTTATGTATTAACTTCACTTGCCTGCAATTTCCATTTCTGGAGGCACCCTCAAGAGGCCGAGCAGCCTGAGGGAACCAAACATAACCAAGCAGAGACCACCAGACCAGGCCACTATGGCCAGCGCCCCCACTATGTTCCAGGCGAGGACCTCCGCGCTGCCCCCGTACACAATGCCACCATCCTGGAAGAGGGCCACAGCAACCAGCCCCCACAACCCACCTCCCATGTGTACAGCCACAGCATCAAGTGGGTCGTCAACTGTGGAAGAAATATTAATTAACTTTACATCCACAACCTCAACAGTCCCAATACGCACGTACACTTCCCAATAATATAAAATTTTATAAATATTATTATTTAAGTATATGCCATCTACAGAACATAACGTTAAAGTTAAAATATTTCAAACTCATGTTAGATAAAACTGGCTACTTGTTGCCTTCTTGAGACAAAGTTAAGAAAACTGAGCGGCGAGAGAATCAGTAACGTACCCTTCAACTTGGGCAGAAGAGTGTGGATGGCGAGGAACACTGATCCACCCACTGTACCAATGACACAGGCACTCCACGGCCGCACAACGTTGCACCCGGCACTGATTGACACCTGTCATGGAAATATGTCCTTAAGCATTGGATAAACAAACTCAGACATATTGTAAGTAACACCATTTTGATAAGAAATTAATTATAATAATACTTAATTAAATTTAAATCAAATGTCTATCAATGAAAATATACAGCTAGCAGAGTCCATCACACTAGCACCAGATGGACTCTCGGCCACACAGCGCAGAGCGGTACTTACCATGCCAGCGAGAGAACCATTAAGGGCCATTAGGAAGGACCAGGTGGACTCCCTCCCACACAGCACAGAACGGTACACCAAGAGCACAGCGATGCCTCCTGAAGACGCCGAGATCACAGTGTTAAAGAGCCTTGGCAATGGCTACAGCATCACCCTCGTGGCTGATGGACGCTTGGGACCCTCCGTTGAAGGCCAGGAACCCGAAGAGCAGGATGAAGCCTCCCAGAGCTGCCAGCTGGAAGTTCAAACACAACTTTACACCTCCACCTTGACGTGTAATATTTCTATTAAACGTGATATTCCCCTAAAAATTATATATTGCTTCATGACTTCATATAATAACACATTACTAATGTTCTATGAACATACCGGCACAGAGTGTCCACGTATCTCCTTGCCCTTGGGTCCGAAGCGACCGATTCTGGGCCCAAGAATTACAGCTCCAACAAGAGCTGCCACGCCCCCTGTGAGGTGGACGACGCCGGAGCCACCGAAGTCCTGGTAGTGTTGAGTCTTGAGCCAGCCAACGTCTGACCAGGTCCAATGTGACACCACCGGGTACACCACAGCTGTACAAACACAAACATTATCATAAACCGGAACATCACAGCTGTTGCAACACAAACATTATAATCCGGTACACCACAGCTGTATTTAATAATGTATCTATTAATTCCGCGGGAAATGTATTTAATATTGATTGAATTGCCCTTTTAATTGAGAAGTAAATCATAATGTTGTAAATCATAATTATAATGCTCAGTGTTAGGCTATTATTGTATAATTAAAATTTTATAAATAACGCCAGTGAGTAAAGTTATTAATTTATTGACCACCGAATAGTGTAAAGTACCCCGCTAAATTTGAAACATACTTTACAGAGAAAGAGGCTTCACACCCACCTGACAGCACGGTTGTGTAGATGAGATAAGCATTGAAAACACACCGCTCAGCCATGGACCCCGAGATGATGGTGGAGGCTGTGGTGGCGATGACGAACTGGAAGAACCAGAAGGCCAGGTGCTCGTCCGACAGCCCGTACGACGCCCAGTACTCTGTACCACAGAAGCTGTTCCCGCCTCCAAACGCCAGCGGGAACCCCACCAGCCAGTACGCTATGCCACCAATGACTGGGGAGAGTAACAGGGCAGATGGTTAGTACAGGGTGGGGACGATTGTGGAATTCATATCATTATTACTACGTGAGGCTTGGTGGGAGGAAGTCGGTTAAATACAGAGA